GCCTGCCGTTGCCAAGGCAACCCGCCACTACAGAGAAAGTCCCCCATAACAGAGGCAGGCCACCATTGCGGAGGCAGTTCTAACTACACCCATATAAACAGGACTGCAGGGAAGTTTGCTCAGCAGCTGGACAGAGCCCACAGCAGCTCAGCAAAGCCTCTACAGGCAGACAGTGTCTAGGCTACCTCCTTGCTGGGCAGGGCAGCTCTGAAGGAAAAAAAAAGAAGACAGCAGCACAATGGAAACTCATAAATAAAGCCCTAAATCCCTGGGACAGAGCACCTGGGAACAAAAAGCAGTTTATGAGTTCTGCTGCAGCAGAGCTAAACGTACCTGCCCAGCAGCTCCGAATGAACAACAGAGCTCACAGCTCAGCATTTGAGCTCCTATAAAGAACAAACTGTCTCCTCAAGCAGCTCCCTGACCCCTGTATATCCAAAGAGCCACCTCATAAAGGAGAGATCAGACTGACACTTCGCGGGTATCCTTCTGGGACAAAGATAGCAGAAGAAGAAAACTGGTAGCAACTCTTACAGTTCTGCAGCTGCTGCAGGTGATCCCCAAGCAAGCAGGGCCTGGAGTGGACCTCAGCAGACCTACAGCAGAGGGACCAGACTGTTAGAAGGAAAACTAAGAAAAAGAAATAACCTCATCATCAACAAACAGAACGTCCACTCAGAGAACCAATCTGAAAGCCAGCAACTACAAAGACGACAGGTGGATAAACCAATAAAGATGGGAAGAAACCAGCACAAAAAGGATGAAAACATCCAAAACCAGAACACCTCTCCTCCTAAAAGGGATCACAACTCCTCACCAGCAAGGGAACAAGGTTGGATGAAGAATGAGTGTGATGAAATGACAGAATCAGCTTCAAAAGGTGGGTAATAAGAAACTTCTGTGAACTAAAAGAAAATGTTCTAATCCAATGCAAAGAAACTAAGAACTTGAAAAAAGATTTGATGAAATGCTAAAGAGAATGGAAAAAATAGAAAGGAATATAAGTGAATTGATGGAGCTGAAAAACACAACACGAGAACTTCGCGAAGATTGCGCAAGTTTCGACAGCTGAATTGACCAAGCAGAAGAAAGGATATCAGAGGTCGAAGATCAACTCAATGAAATAAAACAGAAAGGCAAGAACAGAGAAAAAAGGGTAAAAAGGAATGAACAAAGTCTCCAAGAAATGTGGGACTATGTGAAAAGACCTAATCTATGTTTAATAGGTGTACCTGAATGTGACAAAGAGAATGAATCCAAGCTGGGATATACTCTTCAGGATATTATCGAGGAAAGCTTCCCCAACCTAGCAAGACAGGCAAACGTTCAAGTCCAGGAAATACAGAGAACATCACAAAGATATTCGGCAAGAAGAGCAACCCCAAGGCACATAATCGTCAGATTCACCAGGATTGAAATGAAGGAGAAAATACTAAGGGCAGCCACAAAGAAAGGTTGGGTTACCCACAAAGGGAAGCCCATCAGACTCACAGCAGATCTCTCAGCATAAACCCTACAAGCCAGAAGAGAGTGGGGGCCAATATTCAACATGCTTAAAGAAAAGAACTTTCAAACAAGAATCTCCTATCCAGCCAAACTAAGCTTCATAAGTGAAGGAAAAACAAAATCCTTTGTGAACATGCAAGTACTCAGAGATTTTGTCACTACCAGGCCTGCTTTACAAGAGCTCCTGAAAGAGACTCTACACATATAAAGGAACAATCAGTACCAGCCACTCCAAAAACATGCAAAATAGTAAAGAGCATCAACACAATGAAGAATCTGCATCAACTAATGGGCAAAACATCCAGCTAGCACCAAAATGGCAGTATCAAATTTGCACATAACAATATTAACCCTAAATGTAAATGGACTAAATGCCCCAATCAAAAGACACAGACTGGCAAATTGGATAAAAAGCCAAAACCAATCGATGTGCTGTATCCAGGAAACCCATCTCACATGCAAGGATACACAAAGGCTCAAAATTAAGGGATGGAGTATGATTTATCAAGCAAATGGAGAGCAAAAGAAAAAAGCAGGAGTTGCAATTCTCATCTCTGATAAATTAGGCTTTAAAGCAACAAAGATCAAAAGAGACAAAGAAGGGCATTACATAATGGTAAAAGGATCAATGCAACAAGAAGAGCTAACGATCCTAAATATATACACACCCAATACAGGAGCATCCAGATACATAAGGCAAGTTCTTAATGACTTGCAAAGAGACTTAGACTCCCACACAATTATAGTGGGAGACTTTAGCACCCCATTATGAATATTAGACAGATCAACCAGACAGAAAATTAACAGAGATATCCAGGACTTAAACTCAGACCTGGACCAAGCAAACCTAATAGAGATTTATAGAACACTCCACCCCAAATCCACAGAAGATACATTCTTCTCAGCACCACATCACACCTACTCTAAAATTGACCACATAATTGGGAGGAAATCACTCCTCAGCAAATGCAAAGCAACAGAAAGCATAAAAAACGGTCTCTCAGACCACAGTGCAATCAAGTTAGAACTCAGAATTCAAAAACTAACCCAGAACCACACAGCTTCATGGAAACTGAACAACTTGCTCTTGAATAAACTGGATAAACAATGAAGTGAAGACAGAAATAAAGATGTTCTTCGAAACCAACGAGAATGAAGACACAACATACCAGAATCTCTGGGACACATTTAAAGCAGTCTCTAGAGGAAAATATATAGCAATAAGTGCCCACATGAGAAGCAAGGAGAGATCAAAAATTGACACCCTGTTGACAAAATTGAAAGAGCTAGAGGAGCAAGATCAAAAAAACTCAAAGCCTAGCAGAAGACAAGAAATAGCTAAGATCAGAGCAGAACTGAAGGAGATAGAGACACAAAAAACCCTTCAAAAAATCAATAAATCCAGGAGCTGGTTTTTTGAAAAGATCAACAAAACAGACAGACCACTAGCCAGGTTAATAAAAAAGAAAAGAGAAAATAACTAAATTGATGCAGTTAAAAATGATAAAGGGGATATCACCACAGATTCCACAGAAATTCAAATCATCATCAGGGATTATTACAAAAACTCTATGCACATAAACTAGTAAACCTGGAAGAAATGGATAAATTTCTGGACACTTGCCTCCTCCCAAGCCTAAACCAGGAAGAAGCCGTAACCCAGAACAGACCCATAAAAAGGTCTGAAGTTGAGGCAGCAATTAAGAGCTTACCACCCAAAAAAAGCCCAGGTCCAGACAGGTTCACAGCCGAATTCTACCAGACATCAAAAGAGGAGCTGGTACCATTCCTTCTGAAACTATTCCAAACAATACAAAAAGAGGGAATTCTTCCCAAATCATCTTATGAGACCAACATCATCCTGATTCCAAAACCCGGCAGAGACTCAACAAGAAAAGAAAACTTCAGGCCAATATCCATGATGAACATAGATGCAAAAATCTTCAATAAAATACTGACAAGCCGATTGGAACAGCACATCAAAAAGCTTATCCACCATGATCAAGTAGGCTTCATCCTGGGGATGCAAGGCTGGTTCAGGATACACAAGTCTATAAACGTAATTCACCACATAAACAGAACCAAAGACAAAAACCACATGATTATCTCAATTGATGCAGAGAAGGCCTTTGACAAAATTCAACAGCCCTTTATGCTAAAATCCCTCAATAAGCTAGGTATTGATGGAACGTATCTCAAAATAATAAAAGCTATTTACGACAAACCAACAGCCAATATCATACTGAATGGGCAAAAACTGGACGCATTCCCTTTGAAATCTGGCACTAGACAAGGATGCCGTCTCTCACCACTCCTATTCAATATAGTACTGGAAGTTCTAGCCAGAGCAATCAGGCAAGAAAAAGAAATAAAGGGTATTCAAATAGGAAAGGAGGAAGTCAAATTGTCTGTATTTGCAGACGACATGATTGTATTTCTAGAAGACCCCATCGTCTCAGCCCCAAATCTCCTGAAACTGATAAGCAAGTTCAGCAAAGTCTCAGGATACAAAATCAATGTGCAAAAATCACATGCATTCCTATACACCAATAACAGACTTAAAGAGAGCCAAATCAAGAACAACTGCCTTTCACAATTGCCACAAAGGGAATAAAATACCTAGGAATACAACTAACAAGGAACGTAAAAGACCTCTTCAAGGAGAACTATACGCCACTGCTCAACGAAATAAGCGAGGACACAAACAGATGGAGAAACATTCCATGTTCACGGTTAGGAATAATCAATATCATGAAAATGGCCATACTGCCCAAAGTAATTTACAGATTCAATGCTATCCCCATCAAGCTACCAATGACCTTCTTCACAGAACTGGAAAAAACCACCTTAAACTTCATATGGAGCCAAAAGAAAGCCTGCATAGCCAAGTCAATTCTAAGCAAAAAGAACAATGCGGGAGGCATCACACCACTGGAGTTCAAAGTATACTACAAGGCTACAGTAATCAAAGCAGTATGGTACTGGTACCAAAACAGAGATATAGACCAATGGAACAGAACAGAGGTCTCGGAGGCAACACAACATATCTACAACCATCTGATATTTGACAAACCAGACAAAAACAAGCAATGGGGAAAGGATTCCCTGTTTAATAGATGGTGTTGGTAAAACTGGCTAGCCATGTGCAGAAAGCAGAAACTGGACCCCTTCCTGACGCCTTACACTAAAATTAACTCCAGATGGATTAAAGACTTAAACATAAGACCTAACACCATAAAAACCCTAGAAGAAAATCTAGGCAAAACCATTCAGGACATAGGTGTAGGCAAGGACTTCACGACCAAAACACCAAAAGCATTGACAACAAAAGCCAAAATAGACAAATGGGACCTAATCAAACTCCACAGCTTCTGCACAGCAAAAGAAACAATCATTAGAGTGAATCGACAACCAAAAGAATGGGAAAAAATTTTTGCAGTTTACCCATCTGACAAAGGGCTGATATCCAGAATTTACAAAGAACAATACATCTATCTCTAGCAGATAATGTTTTGTGTGATTCCAGGGGGACAGTCACATGTTCAAATTAAAGTTTAAGTCTAGGGAGGGAGGTTATTTAACTTTTAAATTTTCTCATTTTTAGAAGGAGGACTTCATATTCTAACCACAATCATCTATGCCCTGAGGACAAATAAAGACCAGAAAAATTAGAGATCTTACAAACACTAGGAAAAAAACTCCTCTGGGACTGAATTGACACCTGCATTCACCGAATGCAGAGCCAAGAAGTGATGGGGCCCTTCATGGGCATCAGCTCTGCAACTGCAAGGCCAGAACTACTCAACCCCTCCCTGATTTGCATAATTTCCTTGGAGTCCATATCTGCTCTTTAGAATCCTCATGAATAGCCTTCACAGTGGTTCTGGGCAAGAAACAACCTCTGGTTGGCCTAGAATGAACATGGGTGTCCTGACCCAACTCTTTTGCCTTCTGCTGCTCTGGCACCCAGGTGAGGAGGGGAATGCAGGGAATACCCCTGAGATGATGGGGATCTTCTCTTCTAATTGTGAGAAACTTGCAGGGTCTCTGTGGATTTCTGACCCATCATCTCCCCTTAGAGACCCAGGTGCCTCAGGTTAGGGGTCCAGGGCTTCTGGAACATGCTGGAGGAAAATGGCGGTGAATTTGTGTTTTGCTTCCTTTTCAGGTGTCAGAGGGAACACTGTGCTGACCCAGTCTCCAGCCCTCCTCTCTGTGTCTCTGAAAGACACCATCTCCATCTCTTGTAAGGCCAATCAGAGCATTAGTGATTATTTAACTTGGTATCAGCAAAAACCAGGCCAGGCTCCTAAGATCCTTATCTATGATGCTGATAACCTGTATTCTGGTGTCTCGTCTCGGTTCTCTGGGATACAGTCTGGGACAGACTTCATTCTCACAATCAGCAGTGTAGAGGCTGATGATGCTGCCACTTATTACTGCCAGCAGGACTATACAGTCCCTTGCACCATGTTACAGCCCTTAACAGAAACCTTCCTTCTGGGCTGTTTGTGCAGTGAGTGCATGTGGTTTCACAGCTGCACTCTGTCCTGTGGTGTGTTCAGAAACACAGTGTCTATTTTTGAGTAGGGCTTACAGGCTCATGGGAAAAAAGCTTGAAAGGAATTTTGGTACCTGAAAGGCTTACTTTTCCTTTGTTTTGCAACAATAAAAGACACCCAAACTTTCAATTAATTCTAAAAAAGATATCTCTGGATAGGTCTGCCAAAGATTCCATTCATAGCATGGTTTTTGAATTTCTTCTTTGAGAATAAATGTTTTATTTTTTTTAGGCAGACAACTAGGTTAACAAAGAAACAACAACAAAAAAAATCCCATATCCAGGGAAATAACAGCAACTCTTAGGCAACTACATTGTCTACTGTCATTTACTGAAGTCTTGAAGACTTACTGTATGTTGAATATAGTACTAAAGGTAAATAAACCTAGTGGAATTATTCGACAAGAATAATCTGTAGATCAGAAGTTAGAGATTCCCAGAGTTTTAATTGTTCAAGGTACCAGCGTTCGTGAGAGAACACGAAACAGGTACTCTGATATTAATACTCTAATACTGACTGTATAATTTCTACTAATCAGTCATAACTTTTAATGGCAAAAACTGTAATTACTTTTGCATCAACCTGATAATTCATTTTAAAAATTCTAAATATAGCTAAATTTAGTAAACTGTATTTACTGCGTATAAAGTGATATAAAGTGTGCAGCTTAGTTAGCATAAACATATACATATCCATTTTAACCACTACCCAGATGAAGCTGTACACCATCTTCAGCATCCCAAATGGCTTCCTCATGCTCCTCCTCTGTCAGTTTCATGCTCCATTCACTACTGCCAGAGACCATCATTTTCTATTTTTCTCCAATATTGATTGAGTTTGTTCTTGAACTTTATTTCTTATGTTCTTGAAATATTATAGTATGTACCTTTTCATGTCTTGCTTCTTTGGTCATAATGTCTTTGGAGCTTTTCCTATGTTGCTGGTGTGGCCGTAATTTGTTCCTTTCTACTGCTGTATAGTTTTCTATTGTATGAATACAACACAATTTTTGATTCATTCTTCAGTTTTTGGTTGTTTTCAATTTGAACATATCATTAATAAAGCTGTTAGGAACATTTTTATACATGCCTTTTGTGCATGCACTTCTCTTAGATTCTTCTAGGAATGGAAGTGCTCAGTCATAGGATTGGCAAAGCCTTAGCTATGCCTAGCAGTGAGTCAGCCTGGCACTGGAAGAACTCAGTTTAGGATCCTGTGATTCTCATCATGATTGTACCCATCTAACTTTATTCTGACTCAATGAAACTGGCAGAAGACAGAGGCCCCAAGGCTGAGGAGACTGCACAGTATTGCTTGCCTTGGTCCTCCTCACTTAGTGCTGGAGGAGAGGCTGTGACCCTTTGTGCTGCTGTCCTTGGAGTCCAAACTGCATCAGCTGCTTCCTCACTCCCACAGTGTCTTTTGGGGTTACTGTAATGAGGATCAGAAAAATAGAGTAAATTTCATACAACATAATGTTTAATTTCACCTTGTATTACTTAACAATGTGGAGTATATGATAATAAAACACAATTTGAGGAACATTGTTAAAGAAGGTTCCAGCACATTCTAGCATCATTTTATTTACTTGCAAGTAAGCCATAGAGTCATAGGTTTTGATTATTTCTACATGATAGATGGTGCATGTGGCCTGTTAGTTCTCCTGTGCAACTGTCATGCTACCTGACTTCAAACTATACTACAAGGCCACAGTAATCAAAACAGCATGGTACTGGTACCAAAACAGAGACATAGACCAATGGAACAGAATGGAGGCCTCAGAAGCAACACCACCCATATGCAATCATCTGATCTTTGACAAACCAGACAAAAACAAGCAATGGAGAAAGGAGTCCCTGTTTAATAAATGGTGTTGGGAAAACTGGTTAGCAATGTGCAGAAAGCGGAAACTGGACCCCTTCCTGACACCTTACACTAAAATTAACTCCAGATGGATTAAAGATCTAAACATGAGACCTAACACCATAAAAACCCTAGAAGAAAACCTAGGCAAAACCATTCAGGACATAGGCATAGGCAAGGACTTCATGGCTAAAACACCAAAAGCAATGGCAACAAAAGGCAAAATGGGCAAATAGGATCTAATTAAACTCCAGAGCTTCCGTACAGCAAAGGAAACAATCATTAGAGCAAACTGGCAACCAACAGAACGGGAAAAAATTTTTTTGCAATCTACCCATCTGCCAAAGGGCTAATATCCAGAATCTACAAAGAACTAAAACAGATTTACAAGAAAAAAACAAACCCATTCAAAAGTGGGCGAAGCACATGAACAGACACTTTTCAAAAGAAGACATATATGAGGCCAACAAACATGAAAAAATGCTCATCATCACTGGTCATTAGAGAAATGCAAATCAAAACCACATTGAGATACCATGTTACACCAGTTAGAATGGAGATATTAAAAAATCTGGAGACAACAGATGCTGGAGAGGATGTGGACAAATAGGAACACTTTTACACTGTTGGTGGGAGTGTAAATTAGTTCAACCATTGTGGAAGATAGTTCAACCATTGTGGAAGACAGTGTGGCGATTCCCCAAGGACCTAGAAATAGAAATTCCATTTGACCCAGCAATCCCATTACTGGGTATATATCCAAAGGATTATAAATCATTCTATTATGAAGACACATGCACAGGTATGTTCATTGTGGCACTGTTTACAATAGCAAAGACCTGGAACCAACCCAAATGCCCATCGATGATAGACTGGATAAGGAAAATGTGGCACATATACACCATGCAATACTATGCAGCCACAAAAAAGGATGAGTTCGTGTCCTTTGTAGGGATGTGGATGGGTCTGGAAACCATAATTCTCAGCAAACGGACACAAGAACAGAAAACCAAATACCGTATGTTCTCACTCATAGGCGGGTGTTGAACAATGAGAACACATGGACACAGGGAGGAGAGCATCACACACTGGGTATGTTGGGGGGACTAGGGGAGGGACAGCGGGGAATATGGAGTTGGGGAGGGATAACATGGGGAGAAATGCCAGATATAGGTGACGGGGTGGGGATGGAGGCAGCCAACCACATTGACATATATGTACCTATGCAACAATCCTGTATGTTCTTCATATGTACCCCAGAACCTAAAGTGTAATTATATATATATATATATATATATATATATATATATATATATACTTTGCTAACAGGTTCCAGATTTTTTTCTTTGTTCTGGATGATGAGTTGTAAATGGATCAATAAAAAAGTATTGATTTGTTACAAATAAATGAACTAGATCCAGTTTTAGCAGAGGGTTTTTTAACTTTTTATATTTATTTGTAGGGAAGATCACTTTTTTCTGCTTTAACCTTCCTTTTTAAAAAAATTTAGTTGTTTTTTTCTCCTGGACTAGATAGGAGAAAAGGAGCTTCCCCCTGTTAGTTATGGCTTCCCCCTGTTTGCTATAACTTCTCATTAAGTCACTACTGTATTTTTCTTCTGTAATCTATAACTCTGAGTTATACAACAGGTAGAAGTGTGGATGCTTGCGTTCTCTCCTCCAACACATCTATTTACTATTTCAAAACTCTCAATTACTGTTTGGTAGATTGTTTGGTTTTGGAAATGCTGATTTCAACCCAGGGAAGAAACGCAGGACAGTGATGAGCCTTTCAGGGAAGCCTTCTCCTTGGCTGCAATGACCTGCCGATGGATGGTCATTATCTAAGGTTGACTACATGGAAAGGATTTCAGATGCCTGACAGAATGTGAGAAACAAACACAGAACATAAAAAGAAGCATATAATTCTGGGATCTATGGGCATCTAGACTAAAGTTTTCCTTAACATGCAACTAGTATAAAGGTAGAGTGCAGAGGAAGGATTGTCAGAGTCATATTAGATCTTAGTGACGCAAATTAGATCTTACTGATATAAATGAGACATTGAATTAAGTCTTTCTCTCAGTCTGACACTTGGAATTTTCTTTTGTAAGATTTTAAAATGCATCAGGTAATACTTACATATGTAACAGCTGATCCCTGAGCCATCACTGACACAGATAGCACCAGGACCACTGTGCATAGACAGGTTTTCGACTCTGAGTAGTAGACACAAGATTGCTGTATTCACAGCCTCCACTTGAGGGCTTGGGGGTTCCCTGGCCTTGCTACATTGATAGCACAGCTGGCTTTGATTCTATTCCCAATTCCCTTTCTTCCTTATGCCCTCTGCAAATCACAGTAATTCTCCAGGTGATATCCTGGGACTATCCTTGGGATATTCTTGGTCTTCATCCTGACTTAGAGAAAATTGATCCTCAGGGGCCTCACCTGATCCACAGTTTCAGGTTTATCCTAACCCAGACTCTAATTCCAGGGTTACCCTCTTGAGTTGGAGGAAGAAATGGTGATTTTTAAAACATAACCATCTAGTCAGAGGCTTCATGCTGATGAGCTGTGGGGAATATGATCAAATGGCAGCAAAAGGGTAGACTATGGAAGTTTCCAAAATAAAAATAAGATACAGCCCCTTTGGTTCACCTTGGACAATGATGTATGTGTGAGTTACACACCCTTTAAAAATACATGGTGTTATCTTTGTGTATAACCATGACTTGGTTATATAATGGTAATAAGAATGGCAGTAAAATGCCCAGTAATTGCCCAATGAGCTCATGAACAAAGTGATCACAGTGGCAAAGATGGAGCTTATACATAGCCTCAGTAACATGGTCTTTCATTCCCTACAGCTTATCTGGCTATAGCCACAGCTGAGTGCCCAATCTGTTAGATGCAGAGACCCACACTGGTTCTCTAATATGGCACCATTCCCCTGGGTGACAAGCAGCTACCTGGTCGCAGGTTGATTACATTAGACAACTTCCATCATGTAAGGAACAGCATTTCATTCCTACTAGAATAGATGCCTACTCCAGATATGAGTTTACTTTCCCTGAACATAGTGCTGTTGCCTAAACTATGTTCCATAGACACAGAAAACCAATAGTCCTAAGCAAGTTTATATTCTCTGGACCCAGTTTTTGGTTCCTGCAATCAAACATATTTTAATTAACTTACCTAAGTGGCTTAAGTGGCTTCTCTTGCTTAGCTAACAAATGCGCCACTCAAAAACTTAGTTTGGCTGCAGCCTCATTTTCATTTTTTAGTTTTGTGAATAAATTTTGCTGTGAATAGCTATTGTGTTTTAAATTTTCTAATTTTTAAAAATCATGACTAGGTATTAGACTTGACAAATGCTTTTTCTGCACCTAATGATACAATCATGAAATTTCTTTCCTCTCAATTTGTCTTACTGTATTGGCTAGAACTTGGAGCGCAATGTGGAGAAGAAAGTGAGAGGGAACATCCTTTCCTTAGCAGGAAAGCTTCTAATTTCTCACCATTAAATATGGTGTTATATGTAGATTTTTGTAGATGGACTTTATGATTTGCATCTACAAAAGGAAGTTCTCTTCTATTCCCAGTTTACTGAGAATTTTTTCTGTATAATTAATAAGTACGGGATTTCTTCAAGTTCTTTTTCTGCATTTATTGATATGTGTTCCTTCTTAATCTGTTAATATGATGGATTATACTAATTGGTTTATTAATGTTGAACCGGGCTGGAAGATGTGGAATAAATCCCAATTTGTTGTAGTGTATAATTCTTTTTAGATATTGTTGGGTTTGATTTACCAATACTTTGTTGAGGAACATTGCATCTATTTTCATAAGCAATATTGGTCTGTAGATTTTTTTTTGTAATGTCTTCTTTTTGGTTTGGCATTCTGGTTATGCTGATCTCATAGAAACAGGAAGTATTCTCTCTGCTTTTGTCTTCTGGAATATATTGTAGAGAATTGGCATAATTTCCTTCCTTAAATATTTGATAGAATTCACCCAGGAGCCCATCTAGACCTGGTGTTTTCTGTTTTGAAAGCTCATTAATTATTGATTCCACTTCTTTAATAGACATAGGCCTTTTCTGATTTGACTGTTTCTTCAGTGTGAGCTTAGGTAGATTGCATTTTTCAAAAAGTTTGGTTATTTCATCTAGATTATCAAGTATGTGGGCACGGAGTTATCTATAGAATTCCTTTACTATTTTTTTAGTGTCCGTAAAATCTATAGTGATATTCTCTTTTTAATTTTCATTCAATTGTTATCTCTCTTTTTTATATGTTGAGGCTAACTTGTGTCTTATCAGTTTTATTGATATTTTCAAAGAACTGACTTTAAGTGTTATTAACTTTCTCCATTTTTTGTCAATTTCATTGATTTCTGCTCTAACATTTACTATTTCTTTTATTCTGTTTACTTGTGACTTAATTTGTTCTTTTTTTTTTTTTTTTTTTTGGTTTGCTAAAGCACAAGCTTAAGTTATTGACTTTTAACTTTCTTCTTTTCTAATAAATGTTTTCTATGTTATACATTTCTGTCTAAGCACTGAATGCCTACAAATTTTTATAGCTTGTATTTTCATTTTCATTTTGGTTCCAAATAGAAATTGCCTGCAAGACATCTTTGACCTAGGTGTTATTTAAAAGTGTGTTGTTTAATCTTCAAATATTTTGGGATTTTTCAGGTATCTTCAAATATTTTGGAAATTTTCAGGTTATTTATTTCTAGTTTAAATCCTTTGTGGTCTTAGAGAAATTGTTGTATGATTTCTATTCCTTAAATTTGTTATGATGCATTTTATGGTCAAGAATGGTCTATTTTGGTGAATGTTCCATGTGAATTAGAGAAAATTGTATAACTTTTTGTTGTTGGATTAAATAGTAAATAGATGTTCATTATAACCAGTTTGATTGATGGTATTGTTGAGTTCAACTATGTCATTATTGATTTTCTGTCTGTTGGATCTGTC